CCGAATCCCAACAAGCCGATGTGGAATCGCAGAATCAGTCAGCCCATTTTAAAAGCATCACCAAGGATGAACAACAAGCACTCATCCGTGCCCACAAGAATCTAGGTCATCCCCATGCAGAGAAGTTCAGCAGCATCATTCGCCAACAAGGGTTTCGGCCAGAAGTTGCACGTGCGGCACTGGAAATGAAATGCTCGGTCTGTCAGGCTCAAAAGGGGCCCAAACATGGACCACATGGAAGCTTGCGTGATGAACTGGATTTCAACGACCGTATTCATGTGGATGGGTTTTCATGGACCAATGCACAGGGAAAAGGGTTTCATATGTATCACTTCGTCGATAGTGCTACTAGCTTCCAGGTAGCGTGTGTGGCCCCGTCACACACTGCAGATGCTTTCCTTGAATGCTTCATGCAATCCTGGCTGATGTGGGCCGGCACTCCACATGAAATGGCTGTGGATGCAGGTACGGAACTTAACTCGGAAGAAGTAACCAGTTTTGCACAGGCACACAACATACATATGACAACAATCAGTACGGAAGCCCATTTCCAAAATGGTAAGGCGGAGAGACATGGGTACATTCTCCAAAACATGTTGTCCAAGTATGAAAAGGAACATGCCATCACCACATACCATGAGTTGAAACAGGGTTTATGGTGGTGTGTTCAAGCCAAAAATGCCTACAGTATCCGAAAAGGGTATGCACCAGAAACGCTTGTGTTCGGCAAGCAAACACGCCTGCCGGGATCCAACTGCAGTGATGAATTACTGCCTGCTCACATGCTGGCTGACTCTGAGACAGCCCAGGGAGTGCAGTTTAGGTTGCAACTGTCTCGACGCGAGAGTGCACGGAAAGCTTTTGTCCAGGTTGATCACGACGCTGCCCTCCGAAGATCAATACTCAGAAAATCCCAAGGAGTGAACCGAAAATATCTCCCTGGAGAATGGGTCATGGTTTGGCGTCAAGGCAGGGGAGCAGCCAGTGACCAATGGACTGGCCCGATGAAAGTGGTAGTGCATGAAAATGCCCAGACCGTGTGGACCACCATGGCCACAAAGCTTTACCGAGCCGCACCCGAGCACATCCGACCTGTCTCTGCAATGGAAGCCAAGAGTATTGTCATACTCCCCAATGAACCATCGGTATCAACCATTGCCCAGCAATTGCCACCACATAATCCTGAACGACTAGAACCCGTAATCGCTCATAATCCATTACCCGATGTAACATTGCCACCAGACCCTAACGTACCCAATAACACCATTCCCCGACCACTAGATCAAGAAAGGTTCAATAATCCCGATACCCAATCGGAGGTGCAACCTGATGCAGAACCCGGTGCCCCGGGAAGTCAAATGTCAGATGAGGGGAGTCAAAGTACCCCGACACAACAGCAGGGCAGCCCAACTATACCAGGAAATGTCCTTAACCCAGAGCAAGACATGGCACGAGAACATATGGCACAGAACACACCGGTGCCAGTGGAGACAGGGGAAGAGGATGACTTGGTATGCGAAGGTCTGCATTGCATGGACGTGGAGCCCGAATCAATTCAGCTGGATCAAGATCAGGCTTGGCACTGTACCTTCTATGTTCATGAGCATGACATTGAAGCATGGAAAAATGAAGAATGCTCTGAGACATGTGGTTTTCTTGCAACAGCCGCCAAGCGCCAAAGAGCAGAGGTAAAATTAACCACACTCAGCCCTGCCGAAAAAGCTGAGTTTCAGAAAGCCAAGGAAAACGAGATCAGTAACTTGTTGAAAACGGGAACCATCTCCAGAATTTTACGGGATAAAGTACCCCCTGATCAGATTCTACGATGTAGATGGATACTCACATGGAAACCAATTGATCAACAAGAAAAAGAACAACTCAAGGGCACCAAGGATGTCAAGGCCAAAGCACGGCTGGTAATCCTGGGATACCTTGATCCAAAAATTGCAGAAGTACCAAGGGATTCACCAACTTTGGGAAGGCACTCCAAGATGTTACTTTTGCAAGTGGTAGCATCTATGGGTTGGAACCTTAGATCATTTGATATCAAAGCGGCATTCCTACAGGGTAAGAACCAAAAGGACAGGGTTTTAGCCATAGAACCTGTTGCCGAAATTATCAATATGATGAACCTAAAACCCCAGGGGATCTGCAAATTGGAAAAGGGCGCATATGGACTGGTTGATGCACCATACATGTGGTTCCAAGCCATCCTTGAGGAGTTGCTCGGCCTTGGATTCGAGCAATCACCGTTCGACCCGTGCCTGTTTGTTCTCAGGAATCCAGAAACCTTGTTGCCTGATGGTGTCCTGGGTCTCCATGTCGATGATGGACTATGTGCTGGAAATGAGCGGTTCAGCCATAAGATTGACATGTTGGAAAAGAAGTATCCTTTTGGAACCAAACGTATGGGTCAATTTACTTTCACTGGTATTGACATGCAACAAACACCCGATGGAACAATTCACTTATCACAATCCAAATACATTCGAGCCATTGAACCAATCAAAATTCAACCCGAACGAAGAAAACAACCTGACCAGAAGGTGACAGAGGATGAACGTCAACAGTTGCGAGCCCTCATAGGCAGCATACAGTATGCGGCAGTGCACACCCGGCCAGACTTGTCAAGCCGGTTGAGCATGCTCCAATCAGCGATCAACAGTGCCACAGTTGAAACTTTAATCTCAGCCAACCAAGCACTTCATGAAGCAAAGAAACACCACGATGTTACCATTAAAATCCAGCCAATTTCCACAAAAGACTTGCGATTCCTTGCGTTTTCAGATGCTTCCTTTGCCTCAAAGAGTAATCCCAACTCTCATACTGGTACTTTAATAATGGCCACCCATAAAGATATTGGTAGCAACACCAGATGTCCGGTGAATCCAGTGTCTTGGGGTTGTAAGAAAATACAACGTGTAGTGACCAGTACTTTGGCAGCCGAAACAACATCGTTGAACTCAGTACTTGACCAGTTGTCCTGGGTAAGACTTTGCTGGGCATGGATCCAAGATCCACGAACACCATGGAAAAATCCCAAACTTGCTTTTGAAAAACTTCCCGAAACATACACCACTGCAACCTTGAAGGCACAGGAACTCCCAGAAACGTTCGCAGCAACAGACTGCAAGTCCTTGTTTGACTTGGTGACTCGCACCGCAGTGCCAAACTGTGCCGAATTCCGCACTCAGTTGACCGCACGAGCAATCAAAGATCTCATGTCCGAAGGGGTATCTCTTAGATGGGTTCACAGTGGAGCCCAACTAGCTGATGCACTTACAAAGGTAATGGAAAATACCTTTTTACGTGAAACCCTAAGGATAGGCCAATACAAACTCCATGATGAACTTGAGGTCCTGAAAAGCCGTGCGTCTTCGCGCCATCGTCTCCGATGGCTGAAGGGCGAAAGCACCCATCAACATGGCTCTGGATGCAATGATACATGTTTCCTTGAAAATTTCGATTTTTTGGGAGTGTGATTCAATATCATTGCATTACCCTTCCTCTCTTTGTGTTGACATGAAATAACCAGTTGAACAGGGGTTTTAACAAAGCTTCACTTCCACCAGCACTTGTGGCTCAGGAGGGCCAATTCTGGGTCTGTAGGTGGGAGGGCATTTCTAGCGAGTGCAGAGCCATAAAGCTGAGCGTGGACGCTCTTTTCTTTTTGGAAACCTTGGCCAGGGGCCAGACTTGCATAGCTTGGTGCTCCCAACGCACTTACAGGTCAACCGACCTTGCTGCAGCCTTTGGAGACCTTTCTCCAAAACTTGTGCCACCCGGACTTGTTTGCCTTTGTGGGGAAAACAGGCGGCAAGCCGCTTTTGCTGAGGAGGAGGAAGACGCTGCTTCCAGTGTGGGATCTTAAGGGACTCACAATATATATATATAATTATACAAAATTAGAAGCACACGTGACGCTTCTAGTCGAAGATGGAACATACGAGATGAGTTGCCATCATAGGTTTCAATGTATGCAACATCCTTGGCCTACTGGGCGGGACGAATCACCAGCAAAAAATGTGGCCAACTCTCATGGAAAGCTACATTTTTTTCGGCAAGCTCCCCCATTTCGTAGCCAATGTTGGATAGGCCAAAAGCCAATTGTTTTTTCTTTTTTTTGGCCGACTAGTACATTTCTGGTTGGTGGTTGACCTACCCCTCTGAAAAATATTGGTCAATGGGAAGGATGACATCCCATATATTATGGAAAACAAAAGCCATGTTCCAAACCACCAACCAGATTTCAATATCTTTCTCCATTCATTTCGAATAGGCAGATTCACCAGCCATCGGCTTCTAGGACACGCGGCTTGCAAGGCTCAAGAGAATCATCTGAATCAATGGAAGTTTCGCAAAAGACTGGGAACACCCAAGCGTGGCCTACCCTCACCTGGCCTTAAGTGAAGTCTTTACGTGCCCATCTGCTTAGCTACGCTATGGCAATCAAACATAGCAATTGAAAAACGATTTTGTTCGATGATTCCACGATATTTTACCAGCAGAACCTCTATTTAGCCTCGGGATTTCCCAAAAACAACCATGTTTGAATCCTGGTACTTTTAGAGACCCAACTCTAAGCCCACCCATCCAGAGCAATAGCTGGTTAATAACCCTACTTTCTCTCGTTTAAAACGGGGTAAGCTACCCCAACACTCTTACGATCCGTGGGATGATCCGATTAGGTTAATCTACCCTTAACATAAATCAAGTAGAAGTCCCAAGTAGAAGTCCCAATAAATTCCCATGTCAATTCCCATTACCATCTGGTTATTTAACGTAGCCATGGAAAAACACCATTTTCAATAGGTAAACCATCTATAAATGGGCCATTTTCCATGGCTATGTTAAATAACCAGAGGGTAAAAAAAACCACGGTTTTAACATTTAAATCCATACATCCCCATGTTGAAAAAATGCTGGTTGCATCCCTTAATGCTCACAGCTGTCGTTCACAAATCCCCGGGAACCCCCCGAAGCCGACGCTGCTGAGGTGCTCATCAGGTTTCCCAGCCTTGCCGCCCTGCATGGTTGGGCTGTCTCGAACCAAATATATCCACGTATATAGCCTTGTGTGTGTATCATCTAAACATATGTAACATGTATATTCGTTTGTTTATTTATATTTATATCATTATATATATATTATATTATTATGTGTATAAATAAAAAATAAATAAATAAATATATATAGTGTTCATCTGCGCATATATACATCTGCAATATATGATTATATGATATGAATTTTGGTCCTTTGGCCGGGAGCAACAAATACCATGGGGATCACCGTGGTTCCTCGCCTTGGCCGTCAAGCCTGCACCATGCGCAAGCAGTCGCACCGAGCAAATCATGTCATGGATGAAATGAACATCTACCATCTGGTTGGTGGTTGCCTACCCCTCTGAAAAATATGAAGGTCAGTTGGGATTATTATTCCCAATATATGGAAAAATAAAAAATGTTCCAAACCACCAACCAGCCATTGTCCGAGTGAAAATATGAAAGAGGTGAGAATAAACATATGGACAGATCGGATAGATACGGTTCCATATGCCTGGGTAAAATGGTAAATTAAAAATATGTCAATGTGAGACCTTTATAGTGGAATATAGTGGAATGCATGGTATCGTAATGATACAGTATGTATAATATAGTGAAAGATCTGCTTGCCCAACCATGGTTTTGCATGTTGTTTTTGGGCTTATTTGTCTTTCTGGTGCGTTTTACGTAGGGAATGGATGGGTTGCTGGGGGTTGCTGGGATGATTCTTGCTAGTGATTGTGGACCAGTATGTGGTTTGTAACACTAACCACACTGATACCCTCTGGTAATTTAACATAGCCATGGAAAATGACCATAGAAATGGTGGATTTTCCCATTTTTTCCATAGTTATGTAAACGTTTACCAGAGGGTAACATCTTTTAACCCAGTCCCCATGCTGAATAGAGTGTTGGAGCTCTGGAAATTATCTGGCATAAAAAGAATAAGGATTACCCTCTGGTAAACGTTTACATAGCGAACTGGAAAATCAACATTCTTAATGGGTAAATCGACTATTTCTATGGCCATTTTCAATAGCTTTTTGTATGTTTACCAGAGGGTACCCGACTCACATGATCACCACACTTCATTTTTTCCTACCAGTAAAAGTAAAAGTTTGATTTTCCACCCAAAATCTTGGAGTTGCGCAAAAAGGGGTCCCAAAAAATCAAACATATCCCCTGTAGATTCCCCAAATGATGGGTTTTCTGTTGGAAATAGCAAGTCACCTTAAACAAACACAGGAAATGGGATGATTTGGAGGTTTCCTGAAATTGGAAACACCCCAATCAAACATATGTAATTCGTATTGAAAGCCACTGAAAGCCATGGTGACTTAAACTTGGGGACCTGCCTCGCAGTCCATCCATGAAGAGCCCTTGTTGCAAGTCATCGTCCATACGCCTTGGGATTTTATTTCTTCCGTGCGGTGGTGAAAAGAGGAAAACTCTGAAAATACTGGAAATCTTCAGTAGATCATGTTGATGTGTCTTAAATAGATCTAAAATGAATCTAAAATTGATCTGAAATCTTAAATGTATCTCACTGTATCTTTAATGTATCTCACTGTATGGGTGGAGATTACTGTTGGTTGTTCCCTTAAACCCCTGCAAGCACTTCCGGGAGTGCTGCTGGAACATCCGTGAGAGGCTTTTTATAATCAGACGAACAAACAACAATCCCTGTACATTTCCATGAATCCAACCTTCAACATGACATATTCAGGTCGCCGGGTGAGGAATCCCCAGAAAGCAACAGGTCCCTACCGGGTAGATCTCTGAGAATTCGGCATTCCCAAGTCTGGACTTGCATCTTGGCGGGACGGGTGGCTAGGAAATCCCGGAACTATGGCTTCTCATGGGAAAATAATAGGATCATAAGATATATATAGGAAAAAACTTGCAAAAACACTAATATAGAGTTTGTTCATTTTCACTATATAGGATATAAACCTGGGGGACTTTCCATTGCCATGCTTGATTACTTCAAGGATACTAAAATTACCCACACCGTAGTTTCCTAATGAGCAACAGCCCATGGGTTGAAATATGAGGGAATAACCCGGAGAAATTTCACATGACAGTATATGTATCAAACCAACATGATATAACATGAACAAATACAATCAAGTACACAACTAACATCAACAAACAATGATTAGCATATGAGAAATATGAACATGATCCCATGACACCTTTTCTTAACCACCGTTCTGAAAAAGGTTGGACATCTTTTAGCAATTTTAGCACCTGAGAAACTTAGAGAACATCACACGTATGGAATAAAACATAACAACCATTGAAAACCTACCCTCTGGTAGCTTGCGAAATCCTGCACCAAAAGGATGGTTTTTGCCCAAGAAAATCATGGGATGTTTAGCAGTTTAGCACCTATCAACTGGTGATTCGGATCTCGCTGGCCCATCCACAGTATTCACCAGTGATGCCCCGGTGAACTGCTTCAACCATCGCCTTGAGGCAATCCCCCATTTTCCATTCTGATTTCTTGATGTTGAAAGTAGTTGAAAGACCGTTTCTTTTTTTTTAATGCCTGTCTGTGCAAATTCCCCTATTCATTGTTGATATATGTAACATATATGTATATATCATTACGCTGCCCAAATATCCATGTTGACTCCAAGTTTTTGACAGTCTGTTTCTCCATCTTTCCCGCAACAAATCGAACCATTTGCATCAATTTTGACTGTCAAACCGCCATCTGCTTAGCCAACAGGTGAATCACCAAAACAGCCGTAGAAATGTCCGTCAACTCACCTCTATCTCATCTAATAGATCTTCATGTCCTCCATTTCCAGCAATTTCCATCTGGTTTGAATCACACTAATTCACCAGCCTGAAATGCGCAAAAACTCGGGGTATTCCCCCCCATTTCAAGCGATCATTCGTGATTCATCTGGGTCATCCATAGGTCATCCTGTTAATCCCCATGAAAACTCATGTGATGTTTGGCTTACCCGCCAGTAAATCAACACAACTCTGGAAATCACCATGTGAAAAGTAAGCACAAATCATAGACAATGTCATTCTATGCCATTTTATGCCGTTTTCAATAGCCGGGATAGTTTATAACAGAGGGTACAGGATGGTGCCCCCCAGTTATAAGTTTATAAACCCCATTCACTATAGTTACATCTGCCTTAACCCATAGACTTCCGCCACAGCCATATCTCAACTGAATTGTCTCCGCAGATCTTCGCTCCAAGGCACAGAAATTTCCAGCACCAGGCCCAGGTTGGTAGAGGCGACGGCTCTTATCCTGGCCAAATTTTCGCTCCAAGGGCCCCCGAGAGAACTAAGTCGGTGATGGGATATGGATGTTAATGGAGTTTCATGGGGATCTTAATGGATATTGATGGATATTCATGATATAGATAGATATATATATATATATACATATGTGTATTGATGGATATCAATGGATATTACTAATGGATGATTACCCATGAGTATATCTGTAGCTGGATGGCTCATATCGGAGATATATCTGGATAATTTGTATTTAATAACTCCATTTGGAGATGATTCCCCATAGAAATCCCATCATTCCAGTGAGGTCGCAAGTGAGGTCATTATAATTCATCAACAAATATGCAACACAGGAAACATAATGTATCTAATTATACCTCCCTATGATGTGTATAAAAACATGTATATTCTAAATACAGTGTGTGGCTTGATTGATCTTTGCGTTTGTATTATTAATATATAGCATTATATCTACTTTTTCTCTCTCTCTCTCTCTCTCCCCATTATATCTACTTAGGGAAATATAATTCTGCAGAAGAATTGGGAAGACTGGTTGGCTGTGAAAAAATGCATGGATATATATATATATGTATATATATAGATATATGTGTGTATATATATATAGATATGTGCATATACATATATATATAGTGTATATACATATATATATATGTATATATATGATATATGTATACATATACGGGTACCGCTACCAAACGACAGCATTATTGAAGACATGTGAAGGCCATTCAAAATCAATCAAAACAGCTGGTAGCCAATGGTAGCAAAGCAAGAGAAATAATTGTCGATGAGTGCACTTTATCCAAAAGACACAACATTGACGCTACTAAGGAAAAGCAACATAGGATAGGACCAAGCACAAAGAAACAACGATTGACATTTATTCAATGGCCATTTCTGGCCATGACTCAGGAACCGAAAAAATTGGAGGTACCTACCACATATAAGGCCTATTTTCTAAGGCAAATATTGGAATTCCCATTGATCTGGCAGATTTAAGAAGGCATGGCTAGTGTTAACCCCTGACACTGGATCATCCCGGTAGATCCCTGACGTTTAACATAGCCATGGTATAGATGGCCCATTTCTAGATGATTTTCCCAGCTATAAACCTCCATTTATTTTGGGGATTTTCCATGGCCATGTTAGTCATAACCAGATGGTAGTTCTATTTATGCTCTATCTACATAGCTGTTGCACTAATTCCCATGAATAGGAATTATACTGTTCTTGCTCTCTGGCGTTCTAACAGAGCTATGGCCATGGAAAACTCCAATTCTTAGTAGGTAAATAGTTCATAAACAGGCATTTGTCAAAATCATCATGTCAAATCAGCAAGTAGCATCTGCCAGTTTTAAAACCTCTCATTTTTCAGATTCTTCGTAACAACAATACTGTTATTTGCATTGTCATTGACATAGATTGAAATATTGCAACAACAACAACAACAGTCAAAATTGGCATTGACAACATATATTGCAACAACAAAAACAACAACAACAAAAACAACAACAATAACAACTTCATTTGTTGCCCTCTGGTAAACTAACAGTTCGACCCTGGCAGTGGGCGATTTTCAGACTGCGCCTCAAAGTCTTGGAGCTGTTGGAGTTGAGAGCTGACATCCTACGGCACCCATGGCACAAAGGATCATCTTTGATGGTAAAAAAAAAGCTCTCGGCTCAGCCCCTCCCAGAGGTAGAGCCGGCCAGCAGAAGGCTGAACTCGGTCCCAATCCTAGGTTTAATCTCATGGATACCTTGCTGTGCGAGGGCAGCGATGGCACATGGTGGACTGGCCTGGTGATGGCGCAGCAAGGTGCGCTTTCTACGGTGGCACACCATCAAATGGTGCTGTGGGGAGGTCCTTCAATTGAGGAGGACCGAAAGGTGGCGGTGTATGATGCACGAGTTGCTCAAAATGAAGGGCACTACGTGCTGAACTTTGACATGTACACGAAGGTGGTCTACCTCCCGGCCGATGAGGAGACAGACATGATGACCTTCAAGGAGGTGACATGTGGCATTGGAGGAATTGGATATGCAGGCAAATTCCTTGGTATGAGGTGCCTGGCCATGCTTGACGTCAATGGCATGGTTTGTCAGACGCTTGAAGCGAATGGTCACCTAGACATCATTCAAGGTGACATCAGTGATGCACAGGTGCGCCACCAGGTACATCAATGTCACAGGGCAACCAGGGGATGGATCTTCAGTGGATTCCCATGCCAACCTCTCTCAACGCAGGGGGACATGCTAGGAGCACAAGATCACCGAGCTGATGTCTTCAAGAATGTGGTGAAATTAGCATGGGAACAACAAGCCGGCGGACTGCTGCTTGAGTGCGTGCCAGGTGCTTTGCAGGCATCTTACATCCAACATGAGCTGCAACGCCTTGGATGGAGTCTCAACATGGAGATCAAGCAACGCCTATTGCACTTGCACGCGATCTGGCCATGCAGACGGTCCAGGTGGTGGGCATTGATGATTCCCACCAAGTACCAGTTGTATGACATTGGCAATCTCCCAAGCGCTGAGCCCTATCCTGATATGAATCACATCTTTGCCAGATGGCCAATTTGGAGCGATGACGTTGAAGCGGAGCTCCAATTGAGTGAGGATGAATTGACTCTGTTCAACAACAAGGCCTATGGTCGTGATGAACGTCATCTTCGCATTGATCGTCCAGCTCCATGCATTCTTCATTCCTATGGCTCTGTCTTACGAGAATGTCCATGTGGATGCAGGAGCAAATTCTCGCTCAGGCGATTACAGCGTGATGGCATCAGAGGCTATTATGTGATTGGCTGCAATGGGAAGGAGCGCTACTTGCATGTGGCAGAGGCGGCATACCTATGCACTCTTCCTCCCAGCATTGTATTTCCTCATGGACCTCGTGATTCTCTTTGCTTGGTAGGGCAATGTGCAGCTCCTCTACAGGCATTGTGGATGTTGGGCAACTTCATGGAACATATTGGCTGCAATGTTCATGGCACGGCGCTCACCGCACTGCAGAACTACCAGACCTATTTGTTTCGAGATGCACATGGAATTTTTGCGTTTGAGAACCTGAAGCATGCAACCCTTCTTCATGGTCATCCTGATGAAGCTCCACTGAGTCTTCTGGTTGCGCCAGGACAAAAGGTGGAGGACTGGATCCATGCGGAGTACAAATGGCAAGCTCCAGGGCATGTTCTTCACTTGCAGGATGAGTTGGGCAATTTGCCAGCTCATCATTTCATCCAGCGTGCTTCCATTGCTGGACAATATCACATGGTGAACCGACCCAAAAAGCAGAGGAAGACCATGAAAGCGGAGAACATTCGCATTGCCTTCCTTCAAATTGATGGGGAGGAATTCACCATCCAAGAAGGCTTTTTCTCAGTGGGCACCTTTGTTTTTGAGGCGGCAAGAATTCTGAACATTGATGGAAGCAATCAGCGCTTTCAAGATGAACATGGAAACCGTGTGGACCTGGACTCTCGCATTTGGGAGAATGTCATGTTGATGTGGCCATCACTGCTGCAAGCGGAAGGGGCACAGACAACAGGTCTACCTGTTGGTGGACTCACTGATCTATGCCTTGATATGGCAGCGAACATCCTCATCATGATGGCTCAGAAGCAACGCACGCATTACTGGATGCCAGCGGCATTGGCGACAGAATGGTGTCTTCAACCTGATGCTGATGTACATTTTGCTCATTGGGCTTTGGCTGCTTTGCATGGAAAGCTTTACATGGCAATTGCACATGACAGACATTGGATGCTTCTGGAATGCTATCACCAATATGGAGTATTACATCTACGACACATGGATGGACAGGAGCATTCCAGCAAAGTTGATGTCTTGAGCTTTGCACGCAGGATTGGACATCTTTTGTCTGTCTCTCCGTGCTGTGTGACAAAGGTGCAGGTATTTGTCCAGCACAGCAGTCAAACCTGTGGCACTTTGGCGATTCTACATCTTGGAGAATGTCTGAAACTCTGGACGGAAAGAAATCATCCGGATGAGATCCAACTTCACATGAACTTGGTCAAAAACTTCCCGCTCGGCACCATCTTGGCCTTTGGCAAAGGCATGGGACAAGAGGACACAGACATCATTTGGCCATTGCGTGACATCTTGAAAGCCAGAGGGGTACCAGAACATCGTACAGAAGAACGTGCCCGAGCTGCGATGGACAAGATCGGAAAGATGAAATTGAAAGAAGCACTTGAAGCTCGCAATCCCTGGCAGGCGCTCAAAGCACTGGGTTCCATGCCAAAGATCAACTTCATGTTTGTCAAGGCAGATGAACTGGAGGTTCAAATTCGGCAGAAAGCTCAGTCCAAGTTCAAGGTGCAAGCATCTGACAAGAAGGTCCAAGTGGTCAAACAAAAGCTTGAAGCTAGTGATGTGGCGCCGGATCAGTTGAAGTTGATTGACGGAACATTTGCTTTGAACAATGGTGGAGAGGTCAAACAGCTGGCCATGCAAGATGTTGCAGCCCATAGGGCTGGCATTGCGTTTGCACAGGTGGCTGAGGTGATGCCCTTCCTGAGGGAAGGAAAATCCATCTCATTGGATGGGCTGGCAGTACTCACCACCAGCAGGATTCCTCCATCTGAACAAGGTTTGTTGCCGGTTCTCAATTTGAGATATCCTGCACTCTACATTCCTACACAGGAACCTGTACTTCTTGAAGGCTCCTTGGTGAACCTGGGTGATCTCACAGTGATCAGGAAGCAGGAGATGGATGTCATCGAGACACCAGCCATCGAGACAGGGGTTCTGAAGCTGGCACAATATCGTGATGAATGGCCTGATAGCTGGGAAACTTTGACCAAAGCCCCTTTGCGCACCATTCTTCAGAAGCATCCAGCATTCACCTTATGCAATGGACAGAAATGTGGCCCAGGATGTGCAAAATATCATGCTCCAGTTGATGTGGAGCTTGATTCAGTTGTTCTGGACGTTTGGGCACGAGCATGGATGACATTGCGTGGGAGAAAAGTTGCCAGTGAAGATGCCGAGATTTTTCACGTTCTTCTTCGAGTACCAATGACCCTCATGAAGCCACTGCAAAGACTGAGCGGAACTATGGGCCTCTACATTGAACCTCGACAGACTGAGGGAAAAGGAGCTGATACCGGATCCACGGTTGTTTGGATCCAGAATGGAAGTCTTCCTGAAGCAATTCACAAGCTGAAGATCACAGAACATGGGATAGCGGTTGCGAGGTTCGGCAGCAGGTATGGGGTGCGTGTCCCTACCAAGGATGCTGAGATGATTCACACTCAGCTCAACCCGGAGGTACCGTTTGCCAATTTTGAAGTGAACAAGATCTATGAGCTGCGTCCTCTACCACACGGCACTCAAAAACTTGGGGTCCTGTCCATGTTGAAAGCATGGGGGTGGAAAGCGCGTCCCCTCCAGCCATGCAAGGCGGACTCCTTGGGTATGGGGTGGCTTATTGGAGCCACCGATGAACCGCCAGCGATGATCATGGCCACAAATACAGGGGATGTGATGATTTCATTGCATCGTGCTCATGATGGAGGAGATGGTGGCGTGACCCTGACGAGTTCAGCCAAAACACAAGGACATCTGCGCAGACAGCAGAAGGACCTCAAAGGTGAGACTCAGCAGACCAGGAGCAAGGCGGCCTCTGCTTCAAGCTATGCAGGGCATGCTGAGCCAGACCCTTGGAACCAACATGATCCCTGGCAGTCTTGGAAGGGCAACAAAGGAGACACGGCCATGGATGATGAACCAATGCATGCCAAAGCTATGGTTGATTCCATGGAGGAGCGGGTCACTCAGACTGTCCTGAGCACCACTGAGGAGAGATTCCAGCGTTTGGAGGTGGACCTTGCGGAGATCAAGAATCAGAACCAGAAGCATGAGCAGTGGTTCCATGATGCTGGCAATGCAACCCAGCGTCTGCAGAATCAAGTGGGTACTCTCACAACCCAAATGGGACAGCAGCAGCAAGACGTGGCAGTTCTCTCTCAAGAGATCAAGTCAGGCTTTCAGCTGATGGAGTCCCTTTTATCCAAGCGCCAGAAGGTGGACGATTGACGGTGTGCGCGCGAAGGAGATTGTCACCCTCCTTCGAGACGCGCACCATCAAAGACATTCAGGAGTTCAATGGGATGGATGAGATCCTTTCTCATGGTTCTTTGTCTTTTTGTTCCAGGCCTTGGAGAAGTTGACACTCATGGCAATGACAACCATACACCAGCTGCCTATGCGGGTTTGGGCAATGGTGTGAACCGTTCCAATGTCACTGCCTCGAAAGCGATTGAATTGTCCTTTACGGACCATTTCCTTCATGCAGTACGACTTCTATCTACTGCACAGGAAGCCCAAGGAGGAGCACCAATACCAGATGCAGCAGATGGAGGTGACGACTTGGAGATGGATGAGGCTTTTGATCTTGATCATGACAATCTTCATGCGCTTCAAGACTATCCAGGTGATCAAAATTGGTGGATTTTTCGACCAGATCCAGATGCCACTGGTCGCCAGGAGGTCATCAACATGAGAGTCACTGCCGCAACGACCATGGAGGTCATTGAGAGGCAGTTGATACAAATTTGGCCGGATCTTCGTCCTGGACGAGCAGACTGGGACATTATGACCACATACTATGCAGCATTTGATGCTCAATCTCATCCAGTTCATGATGGTGGCACAGCCTTTCTTGTACGTGCGCAAGCGGACTTGGGCGATGGGATCTTTCAGCGCTCTGTGGTTTTGCTCAGTCTCAGAACATGGAATTTGAGAAATGGGCATGCTTCCACTTCCAGTTTGAGGGCTTTCGTTTTGGACTCACAGGGAATCATTAGCGACCTGTTCCAGAATGTTGATTTCCAAGGAAGATGTGAGCTCACGCCGTGTCCAGTGGAGCACAATGGCCAGATCATTTCCCCTTGGAGGCATGGACACCCTCTTTCGTTAGCAGATGGCGATTTCCTGCAACTTCATGCAGTTAGCGATGTGAACGGTATCCTTCATATCACTGGGGCGCAAACAGGCTATGGAGCACCTCATTTTGAAGAATTACCAGGGCATTTTCAGCAGCTTACACTGCAAAGTATGCAGGATAGAGGGATGGAACATGATGAAATCATCATGATGGTGTGCAAATTTCAACAAAGCCTCACCTCATGGGCAAGAGACATCTACAGATTCACCAACATGCAAGAGGTAGCTAAGGAGCAGCTTGCCATCTTTCTCCCTGAATCAGATGATGTTGTCTTTTTGCGATTTCTCTGGCGACAAAGACTGGATGTGTACCGACTCTATTATGACATCACACAATACATGCTTGATGATGAAGAGCAAGATTGGAGTTTTGTACACATTCGTCATGCAGCCAGTTCGCATTTGGATGCACACGCACAACACCTGGGGATTCGACTGGCCAGCCACACCTCACCCTATGAACAGGATGCTCTGTGCCTGATAGAAATCAGGGTCCAACAAGATGCGCGAGGAACTTCAGCCTTCATGGTAGCAGAGTTCAAATCGCGATTTCTGCCGTTACAGATGAATGAGCAGGACCTTTTTGCCATTGTCAACCTGGATGAACTTTGCTCAATTGAGGAATGTGTTGTGACGGTTGATCATTGGTATGTACCACATGGGGAGCGCGTACACGTGGAAGAAGGCAGTTTTCTCCAAGTTTTTGTTGGTAGTGACGAATCTTCAGAAGATGAATTGGGCAACATAGTTTGCATGTCAGACGAACAAGCTGGAGTGAGACAGGTGCTTGCCACACATGAGGCTTTTGACATACTGCCAATGGATTCCTCCTCGGATCATGATCTGAGTATGAATACTGATGCTGGTTTCTCACATGAACAGCGAGCCTTGCGAAGACTCCGGGATACTTTGGTCTTTCTCTGGAACTTGTGGGGCAATTATTTTCAAGTAAGTGCTTTTCATCAACAAGTTCGTCGGCTTGGGGAAGCGGAACATCCAGGTCCTGACATGTGGATTGGCACATCAAATCCCAGTGGCCTTCGAGGCAAAGAGGAATCCTACTTTGAACTCCCGGTAGGTGTCTGGGGCATTTCAGAAAACCATCTCACACACATGAATCAACGAGATGCGAACAGTACTCTACGCAGACTTAGCCATGAACATGATAGGTATCTCCATCTTGTTCATGGTGCACCAGTTGGACCACGCACAGCCACATCGCAAGCCGGCACTTGGGCTGGTGTGAGCACCATTACAGATCTCCCATGTAGGTCTTTGTCTATTCCATGGCCAAACTCCGAGTATGCCCTGGGCAGAGTTCAAATGCTCCAACTCTGGTTTGGGCCTTTCCAACTGGAATGGCCTCGCAGTCCAACATGGCCTCGAGCGGCAGAAGCAACCGAAACCATGCTCCAACACATCACACAAGAACTGGTGCTTTCCAGAACAGGACCCAGGTTCATTGTCGGAGACTTCAACTGCAAATCACATGATTCGCCTAGCATGATGCTCTGGAAGTCACAAGGATGGGTAGATGTTCAGGAGTGGGCTTTTCAAAAACATGGGCGTTCTCATACCTTGACGAGTAAGAACGCAAACATCCTTGACTACATCTTTCTCTCACCTGAGCTTGCACAGTATCTCACATGCGTTGATGCGTGGACCCTTTTTGCTGACCATACTACAATTGGGGCATGCTTGAATCTTCCGGTGCGACAAGTTGAACAGCAAGTTTGGCAGATGCCAGCTTACATTCCCTATGACAAGGTGGATATGAAACTCTGGCATGGAACTGCAAACTGTCCCCTACACAATCCTGTGCTGTCACCTGATGAAGCGTTTCGGGTTTTCAGTCATGCGTTTGAGGATAGTTTTGGAGGAGTGATCGATGCACCGGGAACAGTTTTGCCACCTTCGTGCAAGGGAAGAGGTCAAAGAACCGCGCCGGAGAAAAGACCACCGCAGTGTCCTATTTTGAAACCTTCGCGTCCAAGTGAGGTACAACAATCATCATGTTTCTTGGGAAGAACAGTGCGCAAATGGTTCATGCAACTTCGTCGCATGCAGTCCATGCTTTGAAAGCAGGAAAAACCACATGGGATGCAGTCATCTATCGAACTGAACTTTGGCGTGCGATCTATAGATCAAAGGGCTTTGAGGGAGGATTTGCCTTCTGGTGGCAACAACGCCCCATTAAATGTCAAGGCTCACCACTTACAATTCCCAACAGGGTTCCTTCCATGAAACTGATGGAGTTGATTTTCATGGACTATGAGATCAACTATCGCAAATTTGAACACTGGCATGCGAAGCAACGTAAGGAAGCATTACAACTGGCGCTGCAGGAGAATCAGAACAAGATTTTTGCTCTGGTCAGACCAACGGGGAAAACCCCACTGCAACACCTGGAAGTACGTGCTGAAACACAAATCCTGGGAGTTTCTGATGATGGAACGCAAATTCATGTTGAAGATGTACAGTCAATCACTGAACAATGTGTGATCAATATTGAAGGGCAACACCTTTCAGTGGTTTCCGCTGATGGTCCAGTTCTCACTCTTTCAGCTGCCATTGACTCTGAGCACCCAGAAGTTGCACAGATCACCAGACACTTTTCTACGGTGGAGCAAATTCAAGGGCATCTTGCAGAATTCTGGAGTGAACGGTGGTGGAAATCTCCACCATCCGAGTCAGACTGGCGGCGCATTTTCCAGTTTGGTGAAGCTTACCTTCAACCTGTACCAGAGCAACATGAGAACATCACGGTTGGGCAGTGGAAGGAGACCAACAAGAGGTACAAGTCTTCCGCAGCTCGTGGTCCTGATGGATATGCACGCAGAGATCTGCAATGGATGCCAGAGGTTTTCCAAGAGAATCTGATTCAACAGATGAACCACTGGGAGACCATTGGTGAATTTCCGGCAGCTTTATGCACTGGCTTTGTGCATCCGCTGCCTAAGCGTGACGACTCAGTGCTTGTGGGTGACTTTCGGCCTGTGATCATATATAGTATGATATATAGGAGCTGGGCTTCACTCAGGGCAAAGCAAATCCTACGGCTACTCTCTCAATGTGCAGGTCACCATCAGTTTGGCTTTCTGCAGAACAAAGAAGGAGCTGAAATCTGGATGTTGATCCAGGCCACAATAGAGGAATCCATCCTGACGCAGAAACCATTGGCAGGATATGTCTCTGACATTGAGAAAGCTTTTGAGGGCCTACCACGGAAACCTTTGCTCTGGTTGGGGCAGCGCCTGGGAGCTTCAAAGAAAGTGTTGAGACTCTGGGATTTCTTTCTCAGCAATATGTCAAGGAGGTTTACACTATCAAACGAGGTGGGTCCTCCTTTACTCTCAAACACAGGAGTTCCAGAAGGATGTGCCATGTCATGCGCGGCTATGGCCATTGCCAATGTGGTTTTTCACAAGTATATGGATCTGTATGCAAGAGTCACCTCGCTCAGTTTCGTGGACAATCTTGAGCTTCTCAGTCGAAGCACATCCAACCTACATGATGGCATTCTCAAGATGCATGCATGGTCAGACATGTGGGCGCTGAAATTGGACGCAAAGAAGAGTTATGCTTGGGCCAGTACTCCTTATCTGCGTGCTCAGTGCAAGCAGACCAACGTGGAAGTCAAGATGCATGCCAAAGATCTGGGGGCGCCTATGACCTATGGTAGCAAGCATAGTGTTGTAGAGCAGCTGGACAGAATCAAAGCTTTGAAACCTCTGTGGCAACTGTTAAGGAGGATGGCGGTATCGCTCTGGATCAAACAGAAGGTTTTGATCCAGGCCTTTTGGCCTAGAGCGTACTATGGCAGTGCCATTTGTTGCATGAGCTGGACACACACAAAGCAGCTGCGAACAGAAGCCATGCGGGCTCTGAAGGCCAATCGAGGAGGTGCAAACCCCGGCATGAGGCTTGCTATTCTTTGTCGGCCCCAAACAGATCCAGGATATTTCCATTTCTGGCAAGTTCTCCTCACTTTCAAGCGCATATGCAACAAGCAAGCTGGATTCATGCAACTCTGGAGTGCCTTTATGCGCAGTTATCAGGGAGCTCCATCTTATGGACCATTTGGCAAACTCCTGGAGATTTGTGCTCAGGTAGGGTGGCAAATTGAACCACCCATGCTGATTGATCATGATGGGGTTGCCTTCAACTTACTGCACATTGGACAGAAGAGACTTGAAGATCTCGCAATTGATGCGTGGCGTCAAGGAGTTGCAGCAGCCTTTAGCAAGCGCAAAGATGTCCAAGGCCTTCAGGGAATTGACTGGCGAGTGCTCGACAAGGTGCATAGAGCATTGGCTCCCTTCAAGCGTGAAGCGATTCATGTCCTACAAGATGGGACGTTTGTGGAAAGGCGTATCCACAGTAAGTATGACCTCACCAAAGATGGCAGATGCATCAAATGCGGGCAAGAGGACTCCATCTTGCACAGATGCAAATTGTGCCCAGCAACCCGCCAGGTGCGAGAGCAGTTTCCCTATTTGATGCAAATTTGGGATCACTTACCTCAAGCCTTCTCACTTCGACTGTTGCCATCTCGAAATCCTTTTGAGATGCAGTACAAGCAGAACCTTGCGCAAGCAGAGGCCAAGCGAATTGGACTGAAAACCTTGAGTCCCAAAGCTCAGCTTGACCTTTTTACAGATGGTTCATGTCTTGACCCTATGTATCCATGGGGAGCAGCAGCAGCAGCATGGTCGGTGGTAAGTGCAATGCATGACAAGGTGGTTGCTAAGGGAACAGTTGCAGGATGGCTACAAACCAGTGACCGAGCTGAGGTGATTGCCATTAAGGAAGCAACCATATATGCAGTCCTCAATTCAGGACACACTACAATTTGGTCAGACAATGCCTATGCGGCAGGAGGTGTTGCAAGGATTCTGCAGAATATTGAAGATGTCCCGACAGATGTTCATGCGGATGTGTGGGAGGAGATTCAAGCTCTTCTTCATGGGCATGATGGGAGGATTCATGTACAACATGTCAGTTCGCACAGAGGGTTGGATCGCCTATTGATGGATGTGGATAGTTGGACAGCTTACTGGAATGATCGAGCAGACCATGAAGCAGTGATGGCTCACTCATTGAGGGCATTTGAGTTGGAGACCTCCCGCAAGCAGATGCTGGATCATTTCCATAGGCAAACCGAGATCCTCAAACTATTAGTAGACTTTCACTTCATGATTGCCGAGACCTTTCACGCCAAGGACCCAGAGAATTTTGAAGAATATGACATGGAGCAGGCTTGTGATGTTGATGAAGGGCTGGATGGTCAGCGAATTTGTCCTCACAGCGTTCCTTGGCAACGAGCATTACCAGAACTTCCAGGGGATGACCTTGGAGCGATGCAAATGGTTGGCAAGTTTGGGTACGTTTTCACAAAAGACATGTTTGACTGGCTCAGGGCTGAGACACTTGAAGAGGATGCGGTTACCTTTAAAGTGTCACTTATTGAGCTGGCAATTCATCTTGGTCTTGGAAAGGTGAACACCAGACTGCCAATTCCAGACTTGAAAGAGAAGAATCGATGGGTGGACCCACAAGTTCTTCCTGCGGCAATTGTGGACAAACAGACGGTGGCAGCGATTTTGAAGCTCCTTCGAAATTTTTTCCTGTCATTAGATGAATGTTTTGATTTTGAAATCCAATGGGTTGAATGCCTTGATTTGACAACCGTTGGTGTCACACCTCCACAGAGAGGTATGGCTTTGAGGCTAGGCTGCAACACCGTCAAAACGATGGGACAGCAGTTAGCGGCTTTTTCAATGAAGCGCCCAATACGGAAGGCTGGAGATCTTTCTAGACCTGTCCATTAGTGCGTGTACTGACCGTAACGGTCACTGCTCGCTGTGACCTTACGACTCCCAGAGCGTCCGCGCGTGATGGTAAAAAAAATGTACTAGCTCAAAATAGCTAACATGGTTTGAAACGAAGCCAATTTAGTGATTTTGTTGTGGATAAATCATGACATATCTATACGTTTATAATCGTTTATATACGTTTATGGGATTTAGAAACCAACAAACACAACTGGGAGGCACCACCTTGTACGGTCCAACGCTTGCTGTGGATTGGTGCAGGTTGGTCCAGACATGGGATGCTGCGACGACGTTGCATGACAGAATTGGGATGAAATGAATGAATTGGGGCATAGCAAAACGAATGGTACCCTCTGGTAAACCAACATAACTATGGAAAATTGCCATTTATAGTGAGTTTTCCCATTAAAAATTGTGATTTTCAATAGCTACGTTAAATTACCAGAGGGTAATCAGGATGAATTCTCACGGGATAGCGACATTGGGAGAAATTGACCAACATGATACAAGGATTGAAGGATATTCGGAGCCTTTTTGGGATCATTTGCTACTCGTTTGCTACTCGCTACAGTCAGGTCATTTAGAAGTCACTATAGAATTTTTTGGACATGCACGGTTGAGGATTCACCCACGGAAACCCCCAGGCACACCTGGTAGTCAGGGTTCATGGGAAAGTTCTGCATGCCACCTGACAAGGGGGCTCTTCAAGCATCTGTGTCCTCAAGCTGTCTGAAACGCGACCTGGTTTCCTGGCCCTGGCATGCATCAGGTTTTATGTTCTTCAAACATCTATGATACGTGTAGAATCGTGTAGCTAATTGAGGCCAGCACTTGGGTGCACCTTTTTCTGCTGCCAATTGGTGCAAGATGGTGCAACTCTTCAACCCGTTTAGTCCCACATCCCCCCAGGCCTTGCATCCGCAGCTGTTGGTTCTGGAACTGCGGCATAGATCCTCCGGGCGCCGGCGCAGGTGACGGCGCCCCAGCCCCTCCAGGGGGATTGCCGGGCTGCGGCAAGTCACCCATGCCGCAAAAGCCCAGCTGAGAGGGGAGACCAGCTGTACCTGGCTGCGAGGTTTGCAGCTGCTGGAGGATCAACTGCTGCTGCTGTTGCAGTGACAGCAGGGGCTGGTTGCTCTGCGTGTTCTGCGGCATCTGCTCTGGCATCAGTGGTCCGCGTGGGTTCGTTGGGCCACCAGGGCCGGGCTGGGGCAGGTTGCCAGGACCGCCAGTGTCCAGGTCACGGATCATGGCGGCATTGGCAAGCTCCTGGAGCATCCACGGCTGACGCAAAGCGTCCATGCCAGGTCCGGGCTCAGGACCCTTGTCGGGAGGACGAGGCAATTGATCACCACCCATCTGAGGCGGGTTACCTCCCAGCAACTGTGCACAGAAAGCACCCATGACTTGACCTGAAGGTGGTGGCAAACCACCAGCCAAGATGGCCATTTGTTGTCCAATCTGGTTGCCTTCTCCCAAATTCCCGCAGGGTTGCTGCATGTTGGGCGCCATCTGCCGGGGCGGCTCCGGACGTTGCCCATCAGGCCACATGGGCATCATGCCCAGGTTGGGCATGGTCATATTGCCTGGTGCCCCACGACTTTCGGGCTCTGTGCGTCCTTGAGCTGATTGCAGTTGGTTGAAATTCCCTAGCAATGGCCCCTGTGTCGCCGGCAGTTGCACCTGCCCCAGGTTTGTGGGCAAATTTGCCTGCGGCATGCCTGGCACGGGGCCCATGCCACTCATAGTGCCAACACCGCTACCTTGGGGAACGTTTTGCTGCATGCCAGGCATGTTGCCAGGCATATTCCCTGGACTCGTCATGAAGGGCTGGCCCAAGAATCCGGGCCCAGGGCCCTGCATGAGACTGCCCTGTGGCATTGCGCCACCAGCAAGCTGCCTGAGCACAAGCAGTGGGGATTTGCTAAAAATGGGGTGGATATCGCGAACCCGTTCCAGCCATCTTGCCCTAAAATACACTTTGAGCACATCTGTGAGATGTCAGACTGCTGTGTGCATTCCCCAGTGGCATGCCACATCTTTCTTTATCAGGTCACGTCAGATGATCCATATCCGCTCTGGAAATGGCATTGTTGACATAACATACATCATGACACACATTGCTGAGAGAAACACATGAGCCAGGAAACAGACCCCTATCCCATCCCATCATACTTGTTGATTAATGAGTGTTCCTATCACGGCGTATCGCTATTGGACCAGAGATCTATGACCACAACCAATGAACAATAACATGATAATATGTTTAATGGTACCTTCCGCCTTTCTCCTAAGTTATTATTATTTTGTTTAAACCAGGGTTTTGCATTTCTCTAAAAAATAATGGGGACCATATGGGGGGTGGAACTATTGAAGAGCTCAAACTCGCTCAAGTTGAACCATGTTGGATGCCAATAATTTTGTTCCGAAACTGCCGATCTTGGCCAAGTGTGGCAGCTCGTGCGTTGTGGTTCCTCAATTCCTCCTCCCCATCTGTTAGATGTTGCATCTATGTACAAGTAGTCAAACATGGCATTGAGAAAGGAGGCTTTATGTTTTGGTAAATTCACACAAACACGGCTAACCGTATATATAATTAGCTATCTACATAATCTCTGAATCTCTATCTATGTACACCTATATGCACCTTTGCGCACCGATGTGCACCTATGTCAACCTATGTGCATCTACATCCATGTCTTCCAAGCACAAAAACTAATATCAGTTCTCGGCGGTTTAAATTTCCACAATTGAATCTTAAAGGTCAACGTCTTTGGGGGACACTGGGGCATTATTCCAAGTAGGACGGCAATACCAAAACGATTTGAAAGCTATAATCATAGAATAGACACACGCATGTATATATATATATAGTATATAAATCACATTTCAGGATTTCAGGATGCTCATTTCGTAAACAAATCATTTAAGTCCCCTTTTTTCTGGTTGAAACATGAAAGCAGCGGATCAAGGCCACGGCGCATATTGAGCCCGGAGTCACCGTCCAACGTAAAGTCACTTTGAGGCGGTTGGAAAGGCCGCATCACCTGGTAGGGAACGAACAAAATGGATCCAACATATACTGAAGCAAGGTTTCTTGGGGGCTGATTTCATCATCATCAACCCCAGAATCAGCATTATACTATAGTATACATAACTCATCATCATCATCATCATCATCATCATCATCTACATCTAGTTAAAAGACTCCTCCACTGTCCAACAGACTGGCGACACTTTGCAAGCCTAGTCCTGGCCACGGCGATGGTTCATCAAAGGCCCGGGGAAATTTCTGCAGGCGGAAGGCGGCTTCTTATGACTTACTGGTGATGCATGGCCAGCATTAAAATCCACCCTCAGATCTAATGATTTGAAAAAGCTTCAATTCAAGATCTGGTCATCGAAAAAGGGCTGCAAAGATCTGTTCAAATGGTGCTTGAACTTCGATTCTTGTGACTCCGCCTTGTCTTCATGGTTGCTGTGTCAGTGTATCTCAGATCGCGAACTAGGCACAGAGCCAAGGTTGCAAGGTCCAGTGTTGCAGGGATGGCAGGAGATGTGCCCGATGAAAATGGGTCAACACATGGTGAAACCATGAAACCATGTAAAACCCCTTCAGATATAGGCAATGTTCATCTCTATCCAAACGTGATTGAAACTGGAGATGCAGCCAACATGTCATGAGATATCACGAGATAAAAAGATGATTCCAACATACTCCAAGCAGCAAGGCTTGATGATTCTTGTGCTCATGTGATGTTCATGATGGTGATCACAACGATGATGATCCACCGGCAGTGAAGGTCCCAGTAGCCTGGGACCTGGCCACCATGCGAAGCCATGGCAATGCAGGGTTCTAACATTGGGGGCAGCTAAGGTTGGAAAACCAAGGGAAAGTTGAGGAAAACCATGGACACATCAGTGAAAGCCAGGTTAACCACTGACTGGTGTCAGTTTTTGTCTCGCAAACTGCTCGGTGACAGTCGATGCCCTGTTCAGTTGGCTGCTGGGGAAGTGGTGTGATTTCTGGGTCGGCTCACCCGCATTCTGCCGGGGCTGAAAGGCCAAATTCATGAGTGTTATGCCACTTATGCACTGGTATGTGTTGAAAGTTGAGAATACATAGTAGGTGCAGCAATGAATGAGATCTTTCAACTATATATTCAAGCACTACTGGAAGGCAACGTAAACCAAGAACCATAGAAAGCAAATACTGTAAATTGGTAAGCCCAAAACTCCCCACTTGGGATTAAAATAAAACTGGGGTTTGTAAATGTCCTAATTGAACGTCCTCCGACAACAAAATACAAAAAAGGGATATAATCTCTAACAAACACTTGTGGTGATATGTAACAAATCCCCAAAACAGGAGATATTTAAATTACCATCTGATTATTTAACGTAGTCATGGGAAATAACCATTTTTAATAGGTAAACCATCTATACATGGGTCATTTTCCATGGCTATGTTAAATAACCAGAGGGTACCACTGCAACAATGGGCACTTTTTCTTGCGGTTTACTTGGAGGATCATCCCTTACGATTCGTGGGATCCAGGCTTGGCGAAAAAAAGGGACACCCGGCTTTGAAGCCAAACAACAAAGATTGGTGGTGTCAACACTGAAAAATACTGTAAATAGACACACACGCACACACACACATATATATATATGTATGTATAATCCATTAGGATATGGAACAAGGAAAACACACGTCCGACTGAACGGTTACTAACATGCACATCGGTCCGTTCAGGGCTTCATCAGGATTTATGAATTGCATCACCGTTTCCCTGCCAGCCATCACTGTTTCAGTGAGGGGAGGCAACATTTTGTAGGCTGGGGCATGAGGGGCGTCTGCATCACTTGCGATGGACACAAGCCCTCCTGTGGATGAAAACACCAGCTTTATGATGCTTTATGATGCTTTCTCTCTCAAACAGCGTAAGTGAATTGACATGTCAATGTATAAATGCCAGAAATGTGAAAACATAATACACATTACACATCCATAATGTCATCAACCATGGTAACCATAAGCCTATTTCTGAGCTATCGACAGCAGGGATCCCACAGAAAACCACAAGGCTAATAGATGTTAGTTAGAGCGCTGCCAACGGACATGCAGCCTAGGAAGAACACTATACTATCCTATACCATTCTATACTACCCTATAGGTCTCTATAGCCTACTTTAGTTCCAGGAATGATTCCAGCGATATCTCCATGCATCTTCCTGTTGGGATCCCAGCCAAACTTCGCGTGTATATCGACATGTTCCGCTCAGAGAATTCACCTGGAGCGCTGTTCGATGGTCTTTTCCCAGACCCGGTGGATCCCAAGTGATCCATGGCGACGAAAAATCAGCGGGCACCGCTGTCACAAAAAAGGTCGCGCTACGGAGTGTTTACGACAATAAGTAGCAAAGACCCTATCATAATGAGACCGTTCATGAAACCTAAGTCTATAAGACCTTGAGAATTTGTTATCACTATCTAAAACCATTCTTCATCAACCCTAATTGTCATCAACCCTAGTCATAAGTTGGTTTACAATCGCCGGCATGTAAGTAGTTCAATATATCTACCACAAACATAAAATTCACATAGTGAACTAAACCAATTATCCAATTCAGCTATCATAAATCAACTATCAATTCCCACCAACTATAATTTATCAACAACTCTATAATGGCCAAACCCTAAAAAAAAATAAATCCATGATAAATCAAGCTCCACAAATCCCTCATTTCTCCACATTTTCGCCCATGAGACACTCTGTCCGTGGCACGCGGATTCACCGAAAAACCTGAGGATCCGGCTTGGACAGCAATGCCTTCAACCGCAGCATGGGGTTGGCATCCACTCGCCGCTTCCTCAGCCGAAAGGATGAGGAAGAATTAGTAGTGGGATGGGTGGTGAGTAATGCTGTAATGCTGGTAAAACATGAAAAAACAATAATAAACCATCCATGTTTTTATGGTTTATACCACCATATACCACCCATTTATGGTGATTTAGGGCATGGTTTATGATTGTTTAAACATGTTCACATGTTTTAACAACATTCATACTTTATAATCTTATCTGGTTGGTGGTTTCAACCCCTCTGAAAAATATGAAAGTCAATGGGAAGGATGACATCCCATATGTGATGGAAAATAAAAGCAATGTTTGAAACCACCAACCAGTCATTAATATCCATTAATCACCCTTAATCACCATTTCCATATGGTTTTTCTAGGGGATTTTCCTAACAATCAACTAAAACCTTGTTCTCGATTAAATTTGCCAAGCTCAGAGTGGCTGTGGCTGTCTGTCCCTGGACCCGCACTTCCCAGACCGGTCAACGAGCGAACAGTTTTTGCCAACTGGAAAAGTTGCACCATTTTGCAGCGGTAAAATATTAAACCAAATGGGCCATTCACCCTCTGGTAAACTAACAGTTTGCTATTGAAAATGACCATTTATATTATTTATAGTCGATTTTCCCATTGAAAATGGTGATTTTCAACAGCTATGTTAGTTTACCAAGAAGGGTAGTTGCATAACCATGTTTCTTAGCCTCTTGATTCATGTGGCTGGGAAAAGGACGTACTTGTCTCTTTTTCAGAGCGACGTGCTCGTGACTTTTGACAAGGGATGGGACATTTAGAAATGGCATTGACCATGACGGGAATGTTGTCGCCAAACATGGATAAACATATTCAACATACTGTATATTATTGTGGTGATGTGTCGATCAATCTTCCAAGAGTTTAACATGTTAGCAAGTTATTTAGCAAATCTATCTCACTTTATAGGCACTAGAACATCCAAATGTACGGCTATAATTGGCTATAATTCATCCAACCATACAAATACATATGCTTACCATCAGGCCGAGTGCCACCAACTTTTTTCCTCCCAAGCGCATGGCAGAAGCTTTACGGCTGTGCGGGGGTGAGAAAACGTCGACCATCCCTGCAGATGCAAATGTCTACATGCGCGCATAAATAGATGAACAATGATGAACCTGTAGATGATAGATGGATGGATGGGTGGGTTGATAGAGGGATGGGTGGATTGATAGATTGATAGACTAGATGGATTCGAGACAGAGAGACAGAGATAGATAAAATTCAAAATAGGGTCAAATCAATAGAATGGGTAATAGATTAGAAGAATAGATAGAATAGATAAAGCAGACGGAATAGATAAAACACATGATAGATGGATGGATAGATAGGTGGATAGATAGGTCGATATGTAGATATGTGGATATTTAACACATTCGTGTGTCTCTCCCTCCCTCCCTCCCTCCCTCCCTCCCTCTCTCTCTCTCTCCCTGTCGCTTGTTCGTATGTGTGTGTGTGCGTGTGCATAGTCTTCTGTATACAGGTATCTACATGTAGATAACCACAAATAGACATGCAAACACACACACACACCCAAACAATCAATTGCCTCCAATTCCCAATGGGAATTCATGGGCAAATGATGGAACACATGGAAACATAATATTTTTAGGGTGCACCCCTAGGACCATGGATGGCTTAGTCCAATGGAGATGTTTATAACTTGAACTTGGGATCCTGAATGGCTTATTGATTTTTGGCTATTGCTTATACGATCGAATGTGATGTGATATGTGTCTAATATATACGTATATACAATAATATAATTTACATGTATGTATTAAATTGCGTTGTGGGATCTAATAGCCTTGCTAACCACTACCCTCTCGCCCCATGGCCCGTGGCCATAAAAAAACCATTTTGGATGACTGATGACTGCTTCGAATGCTACCGGGGTGGCTCTCTATAGTGTGGTTGCTCGTTTCTGTACATCTACGGCACGCGGCGGCTGTCCATCCTTGTGGCCGATTCGGCCGATTTGCGGCATCACAATCTTGGGAGATATCAGTTACCCCGACCTTAAACTGGAGTTTGCAAAGTCCCGTTGCATCCGGACTTAAGATATCACATTGCCTATAGATCACGCAACTCCATTGCAATCGACGGACCCATTGCCTTCCACACTCCTATTCAAACCGGAGCATCTCCCGCAAAAGCATTAGTGAAAAGGCTGATGTTGAATGCCGATTCTGATTGGTGGTTTTATATTTATACCCTTTTGGACAAATTGACAAGGTGTTCATCACCATGGATGGGATGACCATCTGATGCCTCTGCTTCAGAAGTTCCGGGAAACTGTGCCGTCGGTGCAAGGCCAAACGGTTGTGGCGAAGCGGTGCCAAACGGAAGTCACCGAAGATGGCATAAACCCATCGATCCGTAACCTTTTTTTTTTCT